TGGATGGATGGATGGATGGATGGATGGATGGATGGATGGATGGATGGCTTGCTTTAATAATCCTCAGTGAGGAAATTTCACAGCAGCCGGAACAGCACGGTGCAAAAACAGCACAGGTTAAGACAGGTACCAAAAACACAGTCTAAAACAGATGTTAAAAAACAGGTGCAAAATTAAACACAGCATAATGAGATGATGCAAGACCAATGTCAGACAAACAAACTGTAAAATTGGAGCAAAAACCACAGATGATCAATAGAAATACAGTTAATAAATAACGTCATAAGGCAGATAAAGTGTATAATTTAACTGCAGTTGGCAGGAAAGATTTCTTATATCGCACTTTTGAACAGTGGGGTTGGCTTAGTCTCTTGCTGAAGCTGCTCTTTTGATTGTGTACAGTTTTGTAGAGGGGGTGGGATTTATTGTCCATGATGGCCCACAGTTTGGCCAACATGCTGTTCTCAATCACCTCCTCCAGAGGGACTAGCTTTGAGCCCACAGCAGACTCTGCCTTCCTGATGATATTTTTCAGTCTGTTGGCAGCCTTTGTTTTGATGCCTGCACCCCCAACACACCCCAGCAAAGAAGATGGTGCTTGTCACTACAGACTGATAGAAGATCTAGAGCATCATGTTGCAGACTCTCAATGATCTGAGCCTCCTCAGGAAGTAGAGGGGCTCATGCCCTTCCTGTGTATTGCATGTTGGTGGACCAGCTTGTTGTCCAGATAGATACCCAGGTATTAGCTTGACACCATCTCCACGTCTGATGCAGACTGGGGATGGTGCTGGCTAATCACCAGTTCTTTCGTCTTCTCCACATTCAGCTGTAAGTGATTCTCCTCACTCCACCTCACAAATCGGCTCACCAGGTTCCTGTACTCATCTACTTGTCCTCCCTCCACACATTCCACAATGGCTGTGTCATCAGAGTCTTTCTGCAGATGATACAACTCTGTGCAGTGCCTGAAGTCTGTGGTGAAGGTGATGAAGAGGAGCGGGACAACACAGTGCCCTGTGGGGCCCTGACATTTGTAGTTAGATGTTCAGACACAGTTCTGTAGTCTCACAAACTGTGTTCTGCCCGTCAGATAGTTGTCTATCCATCTCGCCATGGGAGCATCCACTTGCAAGTCCTCCAGTTTGGTTTTCAGCACCCTGAGCTGGATGGTGTTGCAGGCGCTAGAGAAGTCTAAGAACATTATGTGTACTGATGTGCTGGGTCTGTCCAGGAAGGAGTATGCCATCTGCAGCAAATTTATGATGGCAGTGTCAGTTCCAGCCTTTGGCTGGTATGCAAACTGCAGAGGGCCTTGTGCTGAGCCTACCATTAATCTCAGGTGAGCTAGGACCAGCCTCTCCATGACCTTCATGATGTGAGAGGTCAGTGCTATTGGTCTGTGGTCACTCAGAGCTATAAGTCATCCTTTCTTTGGCACTGGGACCAGGCAGGATGTTTTCCATTGCACTGGAAGTCTCTCAAGGTGCAGACTCATGTTGGAGAGGTGCTGAAGAACTCCACAGAGCTGGTTGGCGGTGAGGGCGGATGCCATCTGGTCCAGCAGCTTTCTCTGTTTAAGCCTCTTCAGCTCCTTCATCACTTGGCTCACTGTGAACAATGGGGGGTTGGGGGTGGGGTCAGCTCTGATGGGTGTCAAGACGGGAGTCGGTGGCAGAGTGGCTGGTTCAGGTTTCATCGGGACCATTTGCGTGGTGTTGGGGGAAGGAGGTAGTGTGATGGGTCTAATGGTTGTTGAGGCAGGGGTGGGTGGGTAAAAAGGGGGCTTATATGACAACGAGTCAACAACACACATTGGTTTATGCACTTTCATAGAAAAGAGTCAAGAAACAGACACACAAAAGACAAAAGAAAAGAAAAACCCTCAGCAATGTTCCATCACTTAATGCTTTCTATAAAGCTTTCTGGGTCACAACAGTACAGACGTTATTTTAAGCGTACAGTTTCAAGGAATATAATTGATTGGTGAAACACAAGAAGACAAACAGAATAATTTTCAATTGGAAACAAGATTTAAAAAATGGTGTTCTTCTGATGCAGCACGGTGGCGCAACTGGTAGAGCTGCTGCCTCTCAGCGAGCAGGTCCTTGGTTCAAATCCCGGTCCAGGGGCCTTTCTGGGTGGAGTTTGCATGTTCTCTCCGTGCATGCGTGGGTTTTCTCCAGGTGCTCCGGTTTCCTCCCACAGACCAAAAACATGCATGTTAGGCTGATTGGTAACTCTAAATTGTCCCTAGGTGTGAATGAGAGAGTGAATGGTTGTTTGTCTCTATGTGGCCCTGTGATGGACTTGCGACCCGTCCAGGGTGTACCCCGCCCCTCGCACAGTGATTGCTGTGGGCACCAGCGACCCCCGTGACCCAAAATGGAATAAGCGGGTAAAGATAATGGATGGATGGATGTTCTTCTGCTTACATTTCAATCTCAACAATATTTATTTTTAATTATTTAATAACCAAACTGAACTGGAGAAAACTGAGGCAATTATATGTGTGCATTTGTTTCCAAGGAGAATCAAACCATTAAAACAGCAGAGGCTAAAAACAGAGTTACAGACATAATTACGTAGCTCTGGTGTTGCTTTTCCTTCTCCTCACAGCAGAGGAGGTTGATTAAATGATGCAGGTTAACAAAAAGTATTTTAATATAACCTTGTGTGTGTATGGACTGGATTTAAACATCTCTTCTCTCCTGACAGTGTTTATCTCTCTGAACCCCCCGCTACAGAGCTGCAGTTCCTGGTGGAGCATCACCTGTACAGGCAGCAGCAGGGAGGGGGAGATGAATGCTCCTCAGAGAGCTGTTTGTCAGACCGGCCCAGTCCCGATTCCATTCCCACAGGAGAGGAGCTCCCACATGACGATGAGGCCACAGCAGAGGCCTTTGAGAAACTGCGTTGCCAAATGGAGGGTAAGTCTGGAGACTAAACTGAGGATCATTTTTTATGTGTTCCTTTCTGAAGAGTTTAAGCTCAATAAGCCATTTACTACAGCTCTAAGTAAGAAAGAAGTTTTCATGCTGAACTTGGTGAATAGAAGCCTATTTTTTGGAGTAATAATTTAAATTGAACCGTGGACTGATAGATTTTATAGGCTGAACTGCTTCTAGAAAAATGACATTTTAACATTTCATCTTAAATGAAGTGGAATAAACATGTACAGCACAATAAAACTCAGTAATTTCACATCTTTCTTTTAGTTTTGCACTAAAAAAAACAAGCAATTTCTTTCCATTTCCAGATGTTTTTCTGTGTGGCTGTGTAAAAGGGCAAATAAAAGATGAGCAGAAGTAACAGACCCATTTCTGCCCTGTTCATTTTGGTGTCCCACAGGGCTCTGTTTTGGGGCCATTGTTGTTTCTGCTCTATCTGCTCCCTCTTGGTCCAATACATTCATCTTTTAAGAATATATCCTATCATTGTTATATTGATGACAACCAGTTGTATATTTCTTTTCTTCCAAAGGAAGTTTCAAAACTACACATTTTACTTAACTGCTTGGATTCAGTTAAAAGCTGGATGACTGAAAGTTTTCTCCAGCTAAATAGAAAAAAAACCCTGAAGCAATCATTTTTGCTCCAAAAAAAACCAATGCAATGATAAAGCAGATCCTTGGGTCTCTTGGTCATTTTACTAAATCCTCAGTTAGAAACCTTGGGATAACCTTTAACTCAGGTTTTACTCTGGAACCTCATGTAAAGTCTCTGGTTCATTCCTGTTTCTACCATCTGCAAAATATTGCCAAGCTTAGCCATACTGTTTCTTGTCCAGAATTGGAAATTTCATGCTTTTGTTTCGTCTCGCCTGGATTTTTGTAATGCTCTGTACACTTGTTTAACCAAAACCTTCCTAGGCTGGTTGCAGTCTGTACAGAATGCTGCTGCTAGACTCCAGACTGGATCTTCAAAATTTTGTCATATAACTCCACTTCTAAAGCAACTCAGAATCAGAATCAGAATCAGTTTATTATTGCCATGTCAATGAACGAGGTTCACAAACTAGGAATTTGCTTCGACATAAGGTGCGAATAGTAATAAAGTAAAATAAAGTAAAAATAAAGTAAAAATGAAGTAAAAATGAGAACATTACATAAGACATAAGACCTGTGTACACCCTCAAATAAAGTAAAATTAAAACCATAACATAAACATGTGTACACCCATACAATAGAAAACAATAAAAAAGCTTAGAAAAAAGTACAGATGGAGTATTCAATTATAATACAGATGTAATGTGACCAAAGCAGAAATTATGAGGTAGCATTATGAGTGTTCAGGAGTCCAACAGCAGAGGGGAAGAAACTGTTCTTATGGCGGGAGGTTCTGGTCCGAATGGACTGAAGCCTCCTGCCTGAGGGGAGTGGTTCAAACAGTCCGTGTGCAGGGTGAGCAGGGTCAGCTGTGATCCGACCTGCTCGCCTCACAGTCCTGGAGACGTACAGGTCGTGGAGGGATGGAAGGCTGCAGCCGATCACCTTCTCAGCTGAGCGCACAACGCGCTGCAGTCTGAGTCTGTCCCTGGCAGTGGCCCCGGCGTACCACACCGTGATGGAGGAGCTGAGGATGGACTCGATGATGGCCGTGTAGAACTGCACCATCAGCTTGGCCGGCAGCTTGGCCTTCTTCAGCTGTCGCAGGAAGTACAGTCTCTGCTGGGCCTTCTTGATGAGGGAGCTGATGGTCGGCTCCCACTTGAGGTCCTGGGTGATGGTGGTGCCGAGGAACCGATAAGAGTTTGCAGTGGTGATGGGGGTATCATTACAGGTGAGGGGGGGCAGAGGGGCTGTGGCTTTCCTGAAATCCACAATCATCTCCACTGTCTTCTGGGCATTGAGTTCCAGGTTGTTGCTGCTGCACCAGGTCACCAGCCGGTCCACCTCCCTCCTGTATGCAGACTCATCACCGTCTGAGATGAGCCCGATGAGGGTGGTGTCATCTGCAAACTTAATAAGTTTCACAGAGTCATGGCTGGAGGTGCAGCAGTTGGTGTACAGGGAGAAAAGCAGGGGGGAAAGCACACAGCCCTGTGGAGATCCTGTGCTTACAGTCCGAGTGTCCGAGACAGCTCTCCCCAGCCGCACGCACTGACTCCGGTCTGTCAGGAAGTCTGTGATCCACCTGCAGGTGGAGTCAGGTACATGGAGCAGGGAAAGCTTGTCTTGGAGCAGAGCAGGGAGGATGGTGTTAAATGCGGAGCTGAAGTCCACGAACAGGATCCTGGC